TAAAAAAAAAAAATACTACAAAAAAGTAAGAGGTTTGCTTGGTCTTCTAAATAATATTTATCTCAGGAGGTTGGTTTTACACATTTGCCTTGTTGGTGGTAATTCTTTTTTTATTTTGGCATCATTCACCTTGTTCTACTCAATTCAAACTGTACAAAGCAGTCTGAACAGAATCTCCAAATAGGAGGGCTACATTTTAGGGTAAATTTCCTAAATATTGACACGATCAGTACCTTTTATAGCCCAACGTGGCATCTCAGTCTGACATGATGCTAGGGCATTAGTTCAAATTTCCTGTTTTCTTTCTGAATCATCCAGGGCCGAAGACAAGCTTCCTGGAAGAACAATTCATCATCATTTGTGTCATCCAACTCTACAGCACATGACGCTGCCCGCTGGGAACATTTATCAGGAGAGTGTACAAGGTCTGCCCGGAGCATACCCTAGCCTGAAAAGTAAGACAGCCATGCTTACATCCTCCAGAGAGGATTACTAGCTCCAGGATCCTCTTGGCAGTCAGTTTACTCTCCACCCACGGATGTAGACCGGATTTCCGGGGCATTGGCCGCTTTTGAGATGAACGCAGATAGGGAGCAGGTCTGGGGTCATCTACGGCAATCATCTGCATCCTTGCCTCCTGGGGTCTGGGTCCAGCAGCATATGAGTACCTGCCTGAGAATGTTTCTGTAGTTCAGCCCTGAGCACACGTCTACCTCCCTGCCCTCAAAACACAAAACCACAGAAGAAGAGCATGCCTGGAAAGCTCAGGGTGACTCAGGGATGTCCTCATTGCCCTCCAGGAGTCCTGGGCTACAGGGTTTCCTTTAAGCACCAGCCGCTAACACCCTCTTTCCAGTGTCTCCACCTTTCTGTTCTACAGGGAGTCTCAGAATGACCCTCGGGCTGGACGACGCCACCTCCCACAGGCAGTAAGGATAGAGACTCTCTTACGGAGAAGCAGATGTTTTCTCCTCTGAAACAGTCAATTCTTCAAAGTAGGCTCCCCAACACCTGTTCTAGTGGCCTGCACACCTGGCTGGTGATTCTATGCATGTAGGAAATTTCACACAGGCCCCGTTTCAAGCCCTCAGCGGGGTGAGCCAGAGCCATGTGGGATTAGGCCCAGTAATTGGTGCTGTTTGCTTTACTAGCCACTTGTCATTGGGATGTCCAGCAGGTTTGGGATCCAATCCAGATCAAGAAGCTGAGATGGTAAGGTTATCGGCTACAGTGGGTTGAAGAACAGTGACCATGAAGTCCACGCTGACTCACAGGGACCCTATACGGCAGAGTAGCACTGCGTCCTGTGGTTTCCAGGGCTATTGGTATTCACGGAGAATAGCTGGGAGTTTGGAAATGCCGGTCCGGCATGTAACCCACTATGCCCGCGGGGCTCCTATTTGTGTCTGTGGGAACTTCAGGATGCGGCCTTCTTGGGAGTAGGGATCTATCTGTGCAGGGCTCG